GAGCTAATGGAAGGTTGAGTGAAAGGAGAGTAAATTGTAAAGGCCAGTGGTACTTATCTGAGGAGGGTTTTGCATGCCAGGATAAGGAGTTGGAATGTTCTGTACAGTGAGAGGTAATAAAGTTTTGTATCGTTCTAGAAATAGAGTTGGCAGCAGTGGAACGTATGGAATGGTATAGATTCAAGTGGTTAGCCTATTAGAAGAGTAGGTGAGAAAAAAACCAACAACCTGAATTTGGCTGTTGGCAGAAAGGACAAAGATAGATGATTGGCAGTGCTTGAACCACAAATGGGTTATAATAGTTTTAACCCATGAATTGAGTATAGAGAGTAGCAAACAGCCCACATACTATTCTGACTTGCTCTAAGCTGTATTATACAAGTTGATCACTAGGAGGCATCCCTTCACCAACTAGTGAAGTGAAAAAGGCGGTTAGGCAGATGAACCTAAGAAGTCTGGATAGTTCTGTATCTAACTAAGTTAGTATTTAAGCTTTTCAGCTAGGCATTTTGGAGATTAGAATCTTCATAAGGTTTTTCTGCGGAATAGTATTTTAAAATGAGCTGAATGGCTAAAATGGCTAAGTTGCAGACTACTCTCCTGGTGAGAGTGACCAAACATTTCATAGGTCACTGGGATTTTAGCTATTTTTTTGAAATATATTTGAACCTTGCTGTATCCCAGTCCTTAATAATACATTGCTGTGAGTGTCTGCTTTGAATTGCAGATTCAGAAGTTCATAGGTTGTATAAGCTTGTAGTCACATTGTAATTTAGTCACATTGTAATTTAAACAGTTCAGTTACCAAGTTCTGTTAAGACAAATGTCTTTAAGCCAGTATTGATTATTGAACTTTTTAAACAAGTCTTTGGATATTTGCCAAGTAGGAGAAACTGCTATCAGCTCTGTTCCATTATTGTTTCTCCATTCCTTTGATTACTCTGAACTAGAAACCAATAGGATGACAGTTTGTATAAATGCCTCTCAATATTAAATTGCATGTTGCTCAGAAAACTTTATAGCTTTCATTTAGATCTATAGGATACAGGATTTAAGATCTAGAGAGAGATCTAGCATGTGTAGTATTCATTTTAAAAGATTATACCAAATATATATCGGTATGACAAGTTTGGAGAGTTTTTATAAAGTCTCATATTTTGAAAATTTTTGAAAGCATGCATTATGAAAAATCTGTCAGAAGCCTTTGAACACATTGATTTTGTTTTTATGGCAGATAGGGGCTTCTGATTCAGTTTTAAATCTCTACATAAATTTAGCTCCTACTATGTGCCAAGAATTATACAAGGTGATTGGGACCCATAAAAACAATGGTCCTTGCCCTCCCTCTTGAAGAGGAAAAAAAACAACAGGCATAATAAATTATTCAGTAGATGCTAGGAGATAATACATACTATGGGGAAAGTTAAAGGGAAGGGGGTGGTTGCAATTTTAGAGTGATTAGGATAGGCCTCATTGAGATGACATTTGAGCAGACTTGGAGAAAGGGGAAGATCCTGACTGCTGTATTGAAAATAGATTACAAAACTAGGGTAGAATTAGGCAAGGTAGGAAAGATTCCATTGCAATAATTCATGGGAGAGTTGATGGTAATTTAGATCAGTGTGGTAATGAAAGAATAGGAAAAATAGAATATGTAGTTTGAAGACATAACTGATGGAATTTCCTCAATTTGTGGATTGAGTATCAAGAGAAAGGAGTAAAGGATATACTACAAGGCAGGTATGCTTCTAAGTATTTGCAGTCCTGGGGCAAGAATGCAATGGAGACAGAAATGTTAAATATTCAAAGGCTTTGCTAAATAGAAATATGTTCAGTGTACCTGTCTTGATAAATACACCTGAAAAGCCAGATTTAAAGTCCAGTACCAGAACATTACTTGTGAGGAGAGCTGATCCTCAGCCTGCCCTTCTCTTCCTATCCCTGTCTCTGAATTGTATGGGAAGGGGGGACCTCCTGCCCCCCATCTGTATGGATATCCTAGCTTGCATGTTCAAAATCTGTCCACCGCCTTTATACACTAGTCCATACACTGATGATGTAATCCACTTTTTGAACAGTTGAGCCCATTTAGGCAGGGTATTTGGAATCCTGAGTACCTGGAGTTGGTCTAGAATGAGTATGAACTCAAGATAGGCATGTCATTTTACTCTTCAAAAGCTCAAGGCTCTGGATAAGGGCCTCTTGTTTTAAGGGCTATACTGCTCCAAGGTTTTTGGCCTGGCCTGCAGGTGGAATTGCCATCAACTGAGAAGGGGGTGCAGGTAGAGCAGATCAGGGTGAAGAAATATTTGGGAGCATGTACTATTTAAGTTCTTTATTAGATATCCAAATAGTACCGTAGAGAAGAGTAAAAAAATTTTCAACTTAAAGTAAACTTGGCCTGAATATAACAAAACTGAAGGCTATTAAACAAAATACTGAAAACAAAAAAGCAAAAAACATGGCTTTAACTACAGATCCTTATTGAACCAGTTCCATCCAGGGACTCCATCCTATCCAGAGCAGTATTTTTAAATTTTTTATTAGCAAAAGCTCTAGAAACCCTGTTTTCCACAGCCTAAAATCCCCTTAGACTCTTCCCTCTAGTGAGCTATTCTGAATATCTTCACCAGTATGTGTTCTCTTGCCTGGCATGTTAATACAGCCTTTCTTTCATTCTTTGTCAACAAGCAGTTGGATATAAATTGGGGACTCTCTGGCCCTTTCCTAAAAATGAGAGTGGATGAGACCAACAAATGAGTATAGATAAAGAGGAGAACCGAGGACTGTGCTCTGGGGCATTCTGATACTAAAAGGGGAAGAGGAGAAAACTGCAGAGGACACTGACCATGATTGGGGTGGTAGAAGGAAAATTAAGGGCTATGTCCTTGAAGCCAAGTGAAGAACTGTATCCAAGAGGGGAAGCTAATCAACTGTCAGATGCTGCTGATACACAACATGATAATAGATGTAATATGCAATTTGAATCTGCATTTTCAAACGGGTTTACTAAAGCAGTGATTTCATTAGTTTGCTTTTGAAACGTTAGTAACTTGAAAGTGATCTTGTGTAGGGTTGTGACATTTTGGGCAGAATAGTTAATTTCCTGTAATTTTTTTGTGAGTTTGTGTCATTGTCTTTTTAAAACATGGCTAACATGGCCATTTTTGTGAATTGGATGTGACTGTTGAAGTAAGAGCAAAGTTGTCCCTCAACTACAAGGTTCCTACACACCTGAGATCTCCGTGGTCATCGATGCACAATGCACATCGATGCACAATCGATGCACCGTGGTCAAGGAAGGCACATTGTAGACTGACTTCTGAGCGGCTCACAAAGTCACTAAATCATAGTGAAATATTCAGCTGGAAATGGAGTGGTAAAGTATCCAGTTACAAAGTGAGTGCTTTTGAAAATCGTGCTGGTTTTCAGACATTTTGAAGTAATTTAGAATGAATCTGCTGCATGTTGATTAACTGCAGAATGTTAAATAACCAAACATTTTCTCTTAAGAAGATGGCTTGCATAGTTTTTTTGCCCAGTCAAGTTTGTATTGTATCATTTTTCCACATGGAATGTCCTTATCAACTACACCTGCCCTCAGATTCTGAGTTGCATACTCCTTTCCACATGAGCTGAAGAATGGCATTCTGTTAAAAAGATGAACAGCTGGTCATGTAGAAATTCTCTGGAATGCTCACTTGTCCCATGAAGGCAGGGAAAGAACTGATGTTAGGTGCACTGTTGTTACTGGTATACAGAATTGTTCATTTTAAAAAATCCAATTTACTAGAAATTTTTATCCAATTTTAGTAGTTGCCTTTCTCCATAAAAGACTGCTAATCCATTAAGAATTGAAGGCTCTGAGAATCTGCCAAGTGCAATTCAGGCGGACTCAGGACTGTGCTGGAATTGGATCATTTGCTAAGATGTTTCTTATACTGACATTCAGGACCCTCCTGTGTTTAAAAGTTCTGTGTTTTCAGTTACCTTGGCGTTCAGTTTGAATTTTTCAGCGTGACACATAGGATATGACTCTTGCTCCCCTGCCTCATCGCTCATTTCTTCGCCTGAATTCTTTGTTTCAGCCATAGGAAGTCCTCCCTCCTTTCTTGGGCACAAGAAGCAGTCTTTCTTCTTTGGCCAGCTCTGATTTATTTCTTCTTAGTGTGTTTCTTCATATCCTCAGGGTGGGTACACCCTCGGGGGTCTCTTTACTTAATGGATGAATTTCCCCACCAACAGGTTTGGTTTCGATTAGTGCTCTTTATTCCCTCTTGTTTGCTAGAATACAGAATTTTTTAAGATGCGAGAGTAGTAGGAGGGAGCTAGGGGCGAGTACAGCATTACCTTCCCCAGATGCAAGAGATTACAAAACCGATCTGGCCCGTTAGGCGCTTCCAAAGAGAGCGAGACCCGCGGAGCCCAGTCGGCTGTTTGGAGCGCTAAGCTGTTCCTTAAAGTGTGAGGTATCTCACTGGACATTCCTGGGATCTGTAAGTGCAGTTGATTTACTGTTGCAGTCTGTGCGGATGGGTCACCCTTCTCTTCTAGCCCTTCCAGACGGGACAGACGGTAGCGCTATTGCCCTGATTTAACAATCGCCCTCCGCTCCAAGAAGAGCTAATGCCTGGAAGCAAACCCGAGTGTAAAGACACCGTATCCTCTCGGCCTTTGTGCCCTGGGATGTTTACATAGGGTCTCGGAGCTCATCGCGAATCCCCGGGGCTGCTTCCCGAGGGCAGCGAGATAGCTTGGCTTTCCAGGTACTGCCTGGCAGCCCCCCTTCCTCATCTTCTGAAGCTGTTAGCCCCACTGGCCGGGGATAGGCGGGACGACAGGATGGCCTCTCGGCGCCCTCTGGACGTCGGCATTTGTCGCCGGGCAGCTGGGGCGCCCTCGGCTGTCGCCCCAGGCGGAGGAGAGGAGTTTCCGGGGCTCGGATCCCCGCAGCCAGAGCCTGGAAGGAGCGCGGAAGCGAGTGGGCGGCGAGAGGCGGAGCAAGGCATGCGGGGGGGCGTGGACGCGGCCGGCTTTGGAAAGGCCCCAAGTTAATGAGGCGTGCGCCGGCGGCAGAGCGCCTTTCCGAGCTGGGCTTTCCCCCGCGGTGCGGGCGCCAAGAGCCGCCTTTTCCGCTGGGTGTCACTCGGGGGTGGGGGAGATGGCTCATTCAAAAGCGCCGTGAGGGGGCCCGGCCAGTGCCCTTCGGTGAGCGCTCGCAAGAGGACGGCAGAGGCCCGGAGGTTCGCAGCTCCGGGACCTTGTGGCGCATCAGGACGCGGCTGCCGGCTTGCCGGGACCCTGAGCCGCCGCCTCCGCCACCGCCGCTCTGCTTCCTGCGTGTTAGCCTCCTCTGCGCGCTCCGGGCGGGCGGCCGCGGGAGCCGCTGGGGCGAGGACGGCGCGCGGCTGCTGCTGCTGCCCCCGGCTCGGGCGGCTGGAAGTGGAGAGGCCGAGCCGAGCGGCGCTCCTCCCTATGCCGGGAGGATGTTGGAGAGCAGTGGCTGCAAAGCGCTGAAGGAGGGTGTGTTGGAGAAGCGCAGCGACGGGTTGCTGCAGCTCTGGAAGAAAAAGTGCTGCATCCTCACCGAGGAGGGGCTGCTGCTTATCCCGCCCAAGCAGCTGCAACACCAGCAGCAGCAGCAACAGCCTGGGCAGGGGCCGGCCGAACCGTCCCAACCGGGAGGGCCGTCCGTGGCCAGCCTCGAGCCGCCAGTCAAGCTCAAGGAATTGCACTTTTCCAACATGAAGACCGTGGACTGCGTGGAGCGCAAGGGCAAGTATATGTACTTCACTGTGGTGATGGCCGAGGGCAAGGAGATCGACTTTCGGTGCCCGCAGGACCAGGGCTGGAACGCCGAGATCACGCTGCAGATGGTGCAGTACAAGAACCGTCAGGCTATCCTGGCGGTCAAGTCCACGCGGCAGAAGCAGCAGCACCTGGTTCAGCAGCAGCCCCCGCAGCCGCAGCTTCAACCCCAACCCCAACCCCAGCCTCAGCCCCAGTCACAGTCTCAGCCGCAGCCCCATCCCAAGCCCCAGCCCCAGCCCCAGCCTCAGCCCCAGCGTCAGCCCCAGCCTCAGCCTCAGCAGCTCCACCCGTGTCCGCATCCGCATCCGCACCCACACGCGCACCCGCACCCACAACAACTACCGCACTCGCACCAACAGCCGCTCTCGCAGCCGCACGGCCACCGGCTTCTCCGCAGCACTTCCAACTCTGCCTGAAGGGGGCAGCACCCGGGCCAGACAAGGTAAGGTCCCGGCAACTGGGGCTACTACGGGCTTTTCCGAGGAGTAGGTCTCAGGAGTAGGTCTCGCGGAAAGGAGGAGGAGTAGGAAGCCTAATTCACGGATTGGTGCTTGGAGGGGAAAATGAGAAGTTATTACAAGTTTCTGGAGATGTAGAAAGAAGGGTAGCAAGCTGGAGTTAGGAGAGGCCGGGCATAGAGTGGAGGATGGGGGAACTCGGGTTAGGCTGAGAGGCCTCTCGGACCGTCTCCCGCCCACCCTGGCCCGCGCGGGTCCGGTTGTGCACTTCCCAGCGACGCCACTGGCTCTGTCAGTGTCACCAGCGCCGCTCGAGTATGTCTGGACACTCGAGGGAGCGACCCCGGTGTCTTTCTGAGCTCGCTTTGTCCGCCGGACTGGCCCGAAGAGAGCTGGGTTTTGGAGGATTCTGAGCCAATGACTTAATTGCCTGTCATTTCTTTCCAGGTTTTGAGGACTTGAGGAAGTGGGACGAGCACCTTTCTATTGTCTTCACTTGAATCGAAAACAAAAGTCTCCCCGCCCCGCACCAGATCAAGTAGTTTGGACATCACCCTGCTGATAACTTGAGATTCCTCTCCTCTTAGTTTTCTGCATACTCTTCATCATGATGCAGGAAACGGCTTCAGTCCAGAAGGCTTTATTTATGAACCTTTGAAAGGATCTTCCAGTATGGTGGACCTTACCATGATGTACTGTAATTTTATTTTAATGTATTTTGATTTATGATTATTTATTAGTTTTTTTAAATGCTTGTTTTAAGACATTTCTGAATGTAGGCCATTTTCCAAAAAAGAAAGTTTATTTTTAAAAACTTATTCCCTAGTAAATTCTAATCTTGGAAAAGAAAAAAATGTAGAAGGGCGGTGGAGGGGAAAACATTAAGAATTCATTCATTATTCCTAGGGCATTTGCAGAAGGTCTGACACTTTCATTGTTATGCCAGGTGGTTCAAATTAAACTCTGTGATATTACCTTTTTTGAGATTTTTTTTTTCCTTAGGCATATATTTTCTGTAGAGTAGAAGTTTAAAAAAACTAAATGTTCAGAGTTATATAACTACGAAAATCTAATTGCTTTTCTAAAAGGAAGTTCATAGTAATGACATCTAATCCCAAATATTTAATACGTAACCCAACTGATGGCAAGATGAGCATATCATGAATATATGGTAGGGCTGGTGTAATGCGGGAAAAGCCTTGCTTATATCATCTGTTTGAAGGGACTAATAAGGAGATGTCTGTGATTTCTGAATATGAATGCATTAGGCTTTTCAAAAAACACAGTGGGGGAAAAAGAGAAACATTCAGCTTGTTTGAGAACATTTGTGCTCTTATCCACACTAGAGATTATCCTTCTCCAAGAGCTTTGCACAGTCTACTTGAACCACATTTTCTGACCCTTTTACTGTATTCTAGAAATATACTCTAGAATCTCATACTTTAATATATAGTTTGTAAATATTTCGAAGGACTAGGAGTCATAGTTTTTTTTTATTCATACTGAAAATATTGTTGATTAGAGAAACCAACTGTTTTGCTTTTTATTGCTCTTTGAGAAATTTGAGGGTTCTATGTTTTGTAGTTAGGTTAACTAAACTCAAATTGAAAAAGGAAGGGCTGGATAAACACTGGATTTTCAGTGAGAAAACAACCCAGTCTTGTTTTAGCAGTTCAGGAGTCTGAGGGGTGGGGTGGAGGGGGAAGGATGTGCTTTTAAAGGTGGAACAAACCCTCTTCTGTGTCAAATCAAAAGGATGGTCAAAATCCACAAGGGCAGATGCTACTTAAGCTTAAAAAGAGCCATAGTTGATACCAAATCCTCTTGGGGCTGAAAATCACTTCCTATCTGCATGACTTTCCTGACGATCTCTGTTTTCCATTATCTTTTCAACAAAGTCTTGATCAGTATTTTTCCAGCATCCAAATTGGAATGGTCAGTATTAGGTTATTGCTAAGTTAGGTAGTACAGAAACGAAAATAGAATTTCATGCTAGAGATGTCTTTATTCTTCCACCTAAAAGAGTTTAGATCAAATTACTTTTTAGTGCAATATTTAAATGATGAAATTTTGAAATCACAACTCTAGTCTGAAAAGTTGTGGGGGAAAAAGAAAACTGAGGCAAATGACAAACAAAACTTAATAGACTCCCACTTCCAGTGGGCCACAGTTATGAAAATATGGCCACAGTTATGAAAATATGCTACAAATGTTAGAAACACACACACACACATATATGGATATATATGACGGGCAGTTCCGACAGCAAACCTGAAGAGTTCTTAAGTCAGGTGTGGTTTGGCTTCTCTGGAACCACAGCTGTGCTTCTTAGATAATGCTCATTGTACTGTTGTTTTAATATATGCAGATCATATAACCTCCAATTAAACCATAGTTTTTTCTTTCATGTTTTTGCGCTATTAAAAATAAAAGTAAAACCCATACCAAATATTTTAAAAATTAAGATTCGTTTGGGCTTTTAAAAGGCATTTGTATGTTGTTAGCTGACATAGGCTAGGTAGTGTTGTTGAAAAAAATATGCCCAGGTTCCCTCGTGGCTACTGGAATTTTTTTTCTGTGCCCTCTTGCCCCCCATGACTGTGGTGGTTATTGGGGCCACCAGAATCATGGTTCCTTATCTTGTCTTTCCACAGCCCATATTCCTTGGTCGGCTGTGATTTGTGGTTGATTTGACCCTCTTAGTGGCTCTCTAGTCTGAACTCCTCTTAGCATTTATTTACCTGTGAAACCTCGGAAATTAGAAAGGAGAGGAATAGGATGTTTTTTGTTGTTTGACACTTTGAAATGATTATGGCTGAATCTTTTTTTTTTTTTTTCAGAACAACAACAAAAAAAGCATGCTTACTAAAACTCAACAAAACAAAATATAAATGCAAATCACTTAATGTGTCAGTGGCCAAATTCTACCATTTTCTGTAAGAAAATGATACAAACTACCTAAGGTATTTTGAGGCCTAAAAAATCACTTTCATGGACAAAGGTAAAAACAATTCTTTCAATCCAAGAAAAGGAAAAAAGGGAAAGGGCAGGTCCAATAGAAAATGTATCCCTTAAATAAACACAATGCAAAGAGGTGGAAAAGGACATGAAAAGGAATGTTCCCATCTGGAAACTGAACTTTTGTTCTTGAACTTGTGTTGACACCAAGTCTTGGACACAGTGAGCTCAATCACTATTTGTTGAAACAAATGAATGAAAGAAGGAAAAAAAATATGTAGTTTCCAGTATCCAGGAGGTGGTTTCTCTTGCGTCACACAGTGCTTCCTTCACTGGCTTTCATGTCGTTCCCAAGACCAAGTACTACGGGGCAGGCTAAGCCTCGTGACGAAGCTCCTTAGACAGACTTAGCAGAAATGCACACAGATCTGCGTGTGCCCTAAGGGAGGGCTGAGGTCAGAGAGTAAATGAGTATAAAGGGCCCTTTCAAAGGGAGCATTTCTGTCATAGAGGAAGCTGGGATTCTCTCATGTAGAAATCAACCTGACTTTTACAATTTCATTTCACATGTTTTTTCTGATGGAGGTTAAAAACAAAAACCAAAAAGCAACTCATCATTGCTTAAAGGAGTTCCCTACGGAGAGGAAGTCTGGCAGTCTCCTTTAATTCCTTCCTACTCTCATACATCAATACTCGGTTTCTCTTAAAGACCCCTCACTTCAAATCTGATACTACATGAGTTTGTTGCCAGTGTGTGAGTTTAAGCACACTGCTTGTTTTCTGTCCCTAGGGAAGGTGATGAGGTTTTTGTTGGGCTCCAGTTGCCACTTGGACAGTGGCAGGCTGAGAAGAGGCTCTGAGACTTGAGTGAGACCAGAACAATCCCATGGAGCTCAGAGCTTTGTAGGAGAAAAGGGGCCCGGGAGCATTCCTCCTTCTCTTTTGTAAATGTCAAGCTAATTTGCTTTTGCTTTACCAATACACTACCCTCAGCTGCTGCCTAAAATTTAAACTTGGGAATTAATAGAGCTTGATATGGAGTATATCAGCAATTCTTTCAAGAGAAATAATACATGTTTACCTAAAGCAACCTAAAATGTATTAATTGTGGAATTTTGTTGAATGGGTTTTAAAGATCTGTTTTCTAAATTCTTGACATAATTCAAAGGGTAACTTTTTGATCTGCAGTGTTGAACAGCTAATCTAGATTTACAGAAGATTGGATGACAGAGGGGTCTGTGACTTTGTTGGCAGGACATTTGCTGAGTGGAGGATAGAATCCAACAGGGTTTTTCTGGCAGGGCACGATGGTCCAGTGAAGGTAGCAGAAGGACTCTGGAAGCATCTGCATAAAAGCATAAAAGCCAGTGATCAGTTAAGCCTTGGGGAAGGTTTAATAATAGGTGGTCCTTCTGGATCACTGTATTTATTTTGAGAAGAAAGATAAAACTATCGTCTGCTACATTCTACCATCAGTCTTATGCTTAGTTTTAGAATATGCAGATGTTGACTTCTGAAAACCAAGCATCACCAGGTACTAAATGCTTTAGAAAATGTCATATTTGTGAACTTAATAGAGTGGTCATAATTTGTGTAAATATGTCTCAAATGATTTTGGAGAGATGTGATTTATTTTTCATATTTTCAAGATGCATTCCATTTCAAATAAAGTATCCATTGTGATGATCAACCTGTGCCCTTTTGGAAGCCTTGTTCATGTAGCATGTACAATATATGTTCCAGTGGCAGGAAGGTTCTAAAAGGCTTGGTTGGTACAAAGGCCATGGCCATTCTGGGAAGAAAAGGACCATTTTTGAGGTTGGGAACTTTTTAAAGACATTTATTTATTTATTTTAGTGAGGGAGTGTTTGCAGGGAAGGGGCAGAGGGAGAGAATCTCAAGCAGACACTGAGCTGAGCATGGAACCCTATGTGGGGCTTGATCTCACAACCCTAAGATCACAACCTGAGCTGAAATCAAGAGTCAGGGACTTAACCCGAGCCACCCAGTTGCCCCTACCTGGGAATTTTTAATAAAGAATATAAAAATTCACTAAGATCTTTTGATGAAATAATTTTTCAGAATGCTAATGAATTTAAGCTGAAATTTTCATAGCACCCCAGAGGATGAGAAATGGTCCCTAGCTTGATGACCTTGAAGGCAGTTCCCTCAGAGTTCCTGACAGATTCGAGTCCTCAGTCTCTTGAGAGTGTAAAGCCTTGGCTCTGAGAGAATCATCCTTCAAACAGGTTACCTATAAAGCTTCCTGTTTCAGGGTGAGAGCAGGAGACTTGACTTTTTGAAGGAAAATAACTTTACTCTTAAAATCTCCACTGTATCTAAAAGACATTACATCTCAGAAGACTTTCAAGTGGGGAATTTGAAGGCAAATTTTTTTATCCTTTAGCACAGTCTTACAGTGATAGCTTTACTACTCTGCCATTTCTTTGTTTTTTAAAGAAGAAATGAAAGAGGAGGAGACAAATTACTGCCATTACAAGGGGATGTCAGGGGTACCGTGTGAAAAGGTGGTAAAGCTGGTTTGGAAGGACTTCAGAGCCCTAATACGTGGCTTCAAGTTCAGGTTCTATCACCTACCAGATATGTAGATCTTGCCTGTCCTAACCTTTTGGAAACTCAATTTCCTTCTCTGTTAAAGGATTAATAAAAATTCCTACCTTAGGGTTCTTGAGAAGATTTAGTAACTTAATGCACATCAAAGTG